TTAGTTTTCCTCATTGTACCTATCTTGAGCTTTGTTGAATCCTTCAGTGGGTCTTGGAGTACTGAAAACTGTCATTTGGCCTATAGTTCCTGGTAACTTCAAAGTGCACTTTCCACCTGATTGTCAAACTTAAAAATTTGTTTTCTTTCAGGTATGTCATCAGAAGATGATCAGGCCTTTATTCCAAAGCCCGGAATACAAGATTTATTCTCTGAAATAATACTGGTAAGATATAAAAGGTGTCGCTTTGATAATGCACACTTAATGAAAGCCTTGGAAGAGTGTGATGAGAAGAGACTAGATTAAGTCTACCAGACCTGAGGCCCTGAACCTAGGCAAAGTACCGAAAATTAGGTACAGCGATATAGCGGCAGATTCGGAAATTACCAAAAAATCGGTACAGCAGTCTGGTAGGGTTAATATAAACAGAACTAATCTGGAATAGTTATAACAAAATTGTTGTTACCTCTACAGGTCAAGTGTATAATACTTTTGTGAAACCTCTGATATTAGAGTCAGTTCCATTGGCAGATCAGTGTATTTCTGCAGGTGAAAGTCGAAAACACCTTTTTACTGTTATGCACTCTTGGAGAGGAAATTCTGGAAAAACTAGGAATTATAGTCTGTAGTTTAAATAATCCTTTGAATTGCTTAAAATGTAGGATGGGATTATATTTTCATGCAATCATTTCTAAAATGTAGAGATTTATAATGTACCTATAAAATTTAAATGTACTCAAAGAGAGAAAGATCAATCAGCTACCTCCTGCACACTCCTTACTGCAGATGTGTCTGCAACCAAGGTACATGCCCCGACTGGATTCAAACCTGGGATCCCCCAGTCCACAGGCCGACGTTCTTTCGTCTGAAGCAAACAAGCCAGGGCTTATTATTACTTTTAAATATATTTTTATTAAACTCAGAGAAGTACTGAGAGGGTGAGAGCGAGAGAAACATCATTGATAAGAAACAATCATTGATCAGCTGCCTCCAGCATGCCGCCCATGAGGAGTAAACCCGAAACCTGAGCATATGCTCTTGACTGAAATTGAACCTGGGTCCCTTCAGTCGTCAGGGTAATGCTCTATTCACTGAGCCAATTAAGCTAGGTATTTCGTTATTTTTTTATAAGAAAAAATATTTTTATTGATTTTGATAGGAACATAGATAAAGAGAGAAAGGCAAACATCAATGATGAGAGATAATCACTCTCTATGTGATTATCATATCTTGGCTATCTCCTGCATTCCTCATACAGGGGACCGATTCCAAACCCAGGGCTTGTGCCCTCACCTGGAATGGAACCATGACCATCTTGCTCATACATTGAAGCTCAACCAGTGAGCCATGCTTCTTGGGCAATTTGGCAGTCTTTTATTTATTTATTTATCTTTAAATATATTATTGATTTTTTACAGGGAGGAAGAGAGGAGGATAGAGAGATAGAAACATTGATCAGCTGCCTACTGCACACTCCCCACTGGGGACATGCCCACAACCAAGTTACATGCCCTTGACCGGAATCGAATCTGGACCCTTCAGTCCGCAGGCCAACGCAGTATCTACTGAACCAAACCAGCTAGGGCAACTTGGCAGTGTCTCTCTCTCTTTTTTTAATATATTTTATTTTATTTATTTATTTATTTAGGTGCAGAAAGGAGAGTCCTGGAGAATTTGCTAAGGATAGTATGTCCCTTTGTATGTTTTGGCAGAAATACCCAGTCATCCTCTTCAGACAAAGAGAATTATCTGTCACTGAAATAAGGTTGTTGTAGCGGAATAGCAGACTCTCAGCCAGACACTGGAAATAGGCA